AAACCCAAAGGGTAAAAAACCACCAAACAAACAAAAGGGTTGGAACTTTACCACAGGGGCCCCCTTATCCTTTCAATATACCCAAGCCCCCCCCCCCCCCCCCCCCCTTGTATTTTATCATAAGCACATAATCCCATTGTATGTTTTAAAATTTCATCTTACTAACGAGCATGATTATTTACCAAGTATAAATATCATAGCGGGTAATGTGCTTATATTAAAAGTACAAGGGGGTTATATGCACAAAATTCAAACTACAGGGGTGTCATGTGCAAAAAGCTCAAACCACAGGGGTTAAAGTGTTATTTACCGTATTCGATTTACTAACAATTTATTATTAGTCAATTGGGCTGCGAAATGGATCAATTAAGCCCATTTAATAATTACTGCACTTTCGATCATACAAATCAGGCCCAATAACTCAATTTAGGGCTCCTTTATAAACCCTAAGGTTTCGATAATTAGGGTTTCACTTTGCTTCTGCTGTCTGCTGTACGCTCTTCTTCACCGCCTGAGATTTGAATTCGGTAACTATTTTCTCTCTGAATTTCCATTCAACATCGCATCAATTAATGTATGTTTCTTCATGGGATCATATGATTACTTCTGTCAAAATGCAATTTTCCATTTTTTATTTTATTCAGAAGTAGTTTGATTTTGTTCTGTTGCGTTGATTTGTTAAAAGGCTGAAATCTGTAAATGAATTAATTGAATAATCCATCTGTATATTCCGTTGATTTCTTTGATGAAATGAAAACGAAGAGGACCTTGAATCTATCATTTTCATTAGTTTGTTGTATGTGGATTAATCTTAATTTTAAATTTTTTAAATTGGTGTTTATTGAATTTTTTTTTTTTTAATTTAATTTTATTAAGTTTACCTCTGTTATTACAAGCATTTATGCTGTTATTTGGTTTGTTTTGATAGTTCATTTGCTTGTTCAAGACACCTATCAAGATGCAGAACGATGAAGGTCAAAACATGGATCTTTACATTCCCCGAAAATGGTATATTCCCGTCGACATATTATTTTTCGTAGTTTATTTATGAACTGTATAGTTTAGTGACACATCTTGTTGTGCTATTATCCGTAATCGCGTTCTCTAGGGAGCTATTTTACTCAATGGTTGTTGATAATTTACTGAATCTATTCGTTGGGTGTGTTTGATTTTGGCGAATTGGCTAGTTATTATTTCCAAGTTTTGTTTATTAACTGTATAGTTTAATTACAACTCTAGATGTCTTACTATCCTTAATCACATTAGCTTGAAAACTATTTTAGGCAACGATTCTTGATAATGTACTGTGTCTATTCGATGGGTGCGTTTCATTTTGGTGAATTGTAGCGCCTGAATCGATTAGAGTGTGAATATCAGCAATATTTATTATATACTGATAGTAATTTGTGAATTGTAAATGCAGCTCTGCCACAAATAGGTTGATTACCTCCAAGGATCATGCGTCAGTGCAGATCAACGTAGGGCATTTGGACGAGAGGGGTGTTTACACCGGTGCATTTTCCACTTTTGCCCTTTGCGGTTTCATTCGTGCCCAGGTAATTCGTTTTTATAAGTAGGTGACAGAATTCATCGGATACTATTCTTTATATGCAATGGTGAATAGTTGTAGGTTTCTTGATAGATATTGAACAAGTGTTGTTCATACTTCTTATGTAACGTTGTAGTTCGGTTTGGCTGCTGTTATTCAACTAATTGATATAACTATAGCTGAACGATTCTTTTATGATCTCATTGTTGTTACTGTAACAAGTTGAAGATATATATACGGTAGAACACTATCTTGAATTGCCCCTCTTATTAGTTTTGTTTGGTTGTCGAGACTCGATTTTATTGTTGAAATATAGAGTTTTCTTGTGTATTAAAATATACTTTTTTTTTTGTTCCTCAGGGTGATGCCGACAGTGCTTTGGACCGTCTCTGGCAGAAGAAGAAAGGCGAAGCTCGTCAATAAAGAGCCATGTGTTTCTCTTAGTCCAAACTTTGTTTTACCTTAAGTTTAATACTGCTGATTTATGGATTTATCTTGTTTCACTATTTCCTTGTCAGATCTTTCGTGATTTGTAGACTCTTCGAAATTTACCTATTCCATTCAACCTTTTTGTGCCGTTTACTACACTGTTATCGCTTTGTTTAGATTATATATGTTGCCAATTAATTCGGGTGTTTGGTATAGAAGACACGATAACAAGTATCAAATATTTGAACGTACGTAACAATATCAAATTTTATTTGATTGGCAATGGCTTAACATATTTATTTGGAGCTCGAGTGCATTTCTGATGTCTGAATTAGTTCTTGCGGTTAAAAAAAATGCGTGTATTTTCTACACCGTGTAATAGGGACTAAAAGTGAAAATGGGGCAAAACTTAGGTACCATTAGTGCAATTCTCCTCATTTTGTCCTAATTTAGACATATTTCGATTCACATGAGCTGCAAGTGACATTTTCCCGTTATTTGGTAACGGACATGAGACGGAGTGGGATCAAATGTGGTAAAAAAATCACTTAATGTGTATTTCATCCATTTTAGAACAATAAGGACGAAACGTTACATCGAGCCAAATACCAGGGGTCAAAAGTGTAATTCTCTCGAATTGAAAGGTCATATTATGCCTCTATTGAAGAGCCACTTGAATGGATATTAGTGAATAGAAAATCAAATTAGTCAAAAGATGTATAGTTCATCAACTGCAGTTATCTTTGGTATTGAGAACAAATGAATGGTCACAAAGCACCAGATTCCCATTGGCTTCACTTTTCTTATCTTAACAAATAGAAAACCCCCTTAATAATTGGTCCACTTTGGAAAATCTACTAAATTATAGTCCACACAACAAAATGGATGAACTTTCAATCCGAGCTTCGTTTGATAAGTAATCCAGTCGAAACAAGGGCATATCTGTAATTTCTTTTGATTTTTTAATAAATTTATTTGAATATGTGAATGCCTAATTAGGATTAGGAAAATATGCACAACAAGAAAGCACTTTGGAGAAACAAAAATTGCTTTTCATTTGATTAATTTTTCAAAGGCTAGATGTTTTGCAAAAAGACAAAGGACTTGGAACCAAGACTTTTTTATTTTATTTTAATTAGAATAAATAAATAATATGAAACAAGAAAGAGTTGTCCAATAAATTAATATTGCACTTGCATATAGGTACAAAATATAAACATTTTATACTAATCCTTTCCAGCTAAACATATTTCATAATATCCTAATCATTGTTTTTGTAGTTAGTAGTTAGGGCCCAATGAGAATATAAACCTCACATCTAACTTTCTACTCAACTTTTTTTTTTAATTACTGCCACCCTCCGTATAAGGTCAAATTACGAAAAATTACTCATGTTTGAGTAATTACAATCACTCCTCAACTATGAATCTTCTTACACTTATATTTTTGCGGATTCGAATTTAGTGGAATCTACTAGATTATGCAGAATATTCTTCAGTTTGTACTCGTTTTACCCTATTCGAGCTCCACATTTTATAACAAGATAATCATAAGATGTGTCTCTTGGCTTGTAAATATCAGATCGTGGTGCATCAAAAACTGCATTTTGCACAACACGAGTACAAACTAAAGAATATTCCACATAATCTAGAAAATTCAGTTGAATTTTAACTCCCTAAGAATTAACGTGCAAGAAAATTCATAGTCGATGGGGTTTTCGTAATTTTAACTTATCTCAGTCGTTGACCGTAATTTACCCAACCTAATTATGACATTACTAATCTTCATTAAGAGAGATGTGTTATACAAAATCTACCTATTTTCTTACTTTCTCATATGCTAAAGAATCTGAAATTTTCTTTCTAAATAAAGAAAAAATTCCATCACAAGAAATTCGTGGTACGTGTGGTGTTGAAGAAAGCAAGCATCTTCAAAAAGGGAAAGAGGAAAGATAGTTTAAATTTTCAGTCCAACTAAGAAGAAAGAAAAAAAAAAAAGATTGAAACTTTATCTTTACGTATGTATATATGTATGTATATATATATATATATATATATATATACACCCACAAAAATCGACAAATAGTTGTCAAATAATTAGCGGTATAAGTGAATCTCGATATGTTAAATTTGACCTCCTTTTCCAGCCAGAAACATCACCATCAAAATTCTCTCTCTCTCTCTCTCTCTCTCTCTCCCTCTCTCTATATTTAGCATTCTCCCCTTCTCACCATCAATCTTCTCTCTCTCCTCGTTCTCTCTCTTCACATCTGGACTCCATTGCACTTTCACCTCAGTGTGTGTGGTTCTACGCACAGTTCACATACACTTGTTCTTTTAAAAAACCCACTTCCCCCCTTTAAGTGCGTGTATCTCTGTGTACTGGGCTGCAATCAAGATTCAAAAAAAAAAAAAAGGTGCGTAGGGTGTTCTTTTTAATTTTAATTTTTAATTTAATTTAATTTAATTTATTATATTTTATGTCGTCGTTTTCTTGCCATTTTGTGCTGTGTGTTTCTATTTGCTGATTGGAGTAATGGGTTGAAATTCTTGTTTAAAAAAAAAAAAAAATTTAATCTTTGCTGTTTTTCTTTGAGCCCTTTTGACCCTTTGCCAATTACGGTGTCGTTTTTTGGATTATCTGATTTTGTTTTTTGTTTTTTGTATTTTGCATTTTGATTGGCTGTTTGACTTTGATTTTGAGAGAATTGATTGTCTGGATTACATCGTGTTGTAGACTAATTCCATTGGTTTGTAGTTTAATTTGTACACTGTTCTTCACCTCCGTAGTTTCATATCATATATTTTTAATCGTTGACCAAAAGTTTTGATCTTTGTTCTTGTTGTTGTTGTTGTTGTTGTTGTTGTTGTTGTTTTGTTTTCTTGATCGATTATAGTTTCAATTTTAGTTTTCGTGATCGATTATCAACAATGATGATGCACGAGGAGAGCATAAACGATTACGATGGCGAAATAAAAGTAAGTTTCGGTTACCACTGCACCGACAACAACAACAACGACGACGAATCGTGGGCCCCACCGAACTACATCGAAATACCCGGAAACTACGAAGAGCGAACAGCTCCTTCTCTTGCCTTTCCGGTGCAGCATTGAGTGCGAACGCAACCTTAGCCAACACGAACATATGCAACGGTTTAATTGGTTCCGAAATTCTGCCCACCCTCGATTCCCCCAATTCCTTCCGGAAGATTCCATCCTCCACAAAGCTCGAATTTCTATCCACCTCTCTCCAGAGCAACATGTCCAATTTGAGCTTTAGCCCTTCTTCCCCGAGCGAAAACCTAGATTACGACTCTTTGTTTTCGCTCAATTCGACTAGCGCACCTTCTAGGAGTGACAGCTTTCTCAATGCAATGGAGGTGCAAATCGCGGGCGGTGCCGCCGGTGAAGATCGAGTGCAAGCCGTTTGCTCCGAGGAAAACGGCTGGCTTTTCTGTGCTATTTACGACGGCTTTAACGGCAGGGATGCGGCCGATTTTCTCGCAGGTACATTGTACGAAACAATCGCGTCCCACCTGAATTTACTCAATTGGGACCTCGATTTTCAAGAATCGGACAATTCTACATTCAAGAACAATGTTCTAACTAGTCTTCAAAAAGCTGTCGAGCAAGCCGAGTTCGAGTTTCTTCACATGGTGGAGCAAGAAATGGACGACCGGCCCGACTTAGTTTCGATCGGTTCTTGCGTTTTGATTGTTTTGCTGCACGGGAAGAATTTGTATTTGCTCAATCTTGGAGATAGTAGAGCTGTTTTGGCTACGTATGATGGTGAGGGAATCGAGATGAACGAAAATGGAGGGCTGAGATCGGTCCAGCTCACCGATAGTCATACGGTTGATAATGAGATCGAGAGAGTCAAACTTATCAACGATCATCCGGACGACCCTTCTACGGTAGTGGGTGGAAAAGTCAAAGGGAAGCTTAAAGTTACGAGGGCTTTTGGAGTTGGTTACTTGAAAAAGGTATATACCAATTTTCTTCATTTATTTTTAATGTATTTACTATAACCATGGTTCTTGATTTTATATGTTTAAGTAGATTTGACGTATATAAACGAAAAAAATGAAAATCGGAAATTTTCCACCCCTATAAGTATCTACGTGTATCAAACAAAGAAATTATAACCATGGTTCTTGATTTTATATGTTTAAATAGAGTTGACTTTTATAAATTATATTCCTTGGTTTCGATTTTTTTTTGAAAACCCCTATTAGTATCGAAGTGTATCGAACAAGGAAATTCTAACCATCGTTCTTGATTTTATGTGTTGAAGTAGAGTCGAGTTATATAAATTGTATTCCTTGGTTTCGGAAAAATGGAAATCGGATTTTTTTTTCTTAGTTACACACAAAGAAAAAAAAAATTGATGAAGTTTCCGTAAATTTTTTTATCATGTAAGTGATTGTATTTTGGAGTAAGTGGAAACCGTTGAG